AAAGACCTCGATTAATGTTGGTTAGTACTTAATGCTCAGGATATCCAGGGTGTCTGTGGCCAAAGGCAGAGGCAAAGGAGCCCAGGTTCTCTTGCCTGTTCTTTGCATGGTGCATGCAGAGGAATTCAGAGCTGTGGCAGGCAGCTAAGAAAGGGATCTTGCATACGTATGGCGTGTGAATGTAGATAGGCCGGTTGCATGCATAGAGGGAATGTCTGAGCAGCTGAAGGGTGCAGAGCCCCTCGTGCATCTTTGAACACAGAAGTCTCTGTCTTTTAGAGAGAGGGTTTGGAGAGCCTGCCTTATCTCGTGTGCATTACTGTAACTACTACTCCTAGATCTCAGCCGCACTGAACAGTGGTCTGAAAGGGCAGACACTGATGTATGAGGCAAGATGCTGTGTGGCTAAAATAGCTTTGTACTGTAGGCCGCTGAAGGGCTGTGAAGGTGCTCACCCTGGTGTTTACCTGGCCACTGGCCCGGACTTTGGCTAGCTGCGCATCTGTTGAGTGCAGTTCTGAGCTCTGTGGAACAGGCCAGGGTGAATTTGACCTCGGTGCTTCTATCCAGACTCCCTGTCAGTCCCACTGTTGTGCATGTTTCAGCTGCCAGCTCTTCTATGGAAGCAACGGTTTGGGGCACATCTCACGGTGGGCTGTTGAGATAAAGAATCTGGGCATCTGGCTGCTTACCCCAAAGGTGGTGGGCAGGAGGGGGCCATTGACAGCCCTGTAGCCCAGCTTAGCAGTACTCGTAATCACTGGAATCTGTCCTTACTGGGTTGGGCTGTGTTACTCAGCACCTGCGGTGGTGGTTGTGTTGAGCATCGAGGCTCTCCTGAAATAGGGAGTGTGCGAGACAGGCTCTGCTGTAGGCAGAAAGGCTATGAATGAGCCCACGGAGGAGGCTTTTATTTCTTAGGTTTACAGGGAGAGGAGGAGATAAAGCTGGGAAGACATTGTGGAATGAGATGGTTATCCGGGCTTTTCTGCTGGCAGAGATGTGACAGGCTTCTCAGAGAAATATACTGTTTTCCTGCTGCTATTGTGAAGGGGAGGAGAGCTGTGGTCTGTCCTTCCCAGAGGAGTAGGCCTCCTGGCCTTGGTCTTATCCAGCTCACACTCTCTGGCAAGAGTCTGTCTGTAGGATGCAATAATGGGTGTCTGTAGCCCCCTGTCCCATCTCATGAAACATTCCTTGGGTCAGCTGCCCAGCAGAGGCCAGGTCTGTTTCTAGGCTATGCGTACACTGTTGCTCCAGGAACATGAGACTTGCTCCAAGTGACGAGTGCTCATCACTACCAGACTATGCAGAGGAAGCTCTGTCTGGAAAGCAGGAAAGCTGCAGAGGCCCCTCTGCCTCCCCTTTCCAGCAGGTGCGCAAGTATAATGCACTTTTCACATTAAGTGTCCCCGCCCCTCCCCATCCCCACCCCACACTTGAAGTCACTTTCGCCCGTAGAGAACTAACAATCCTTGTTACTCAGAAAATATTGTAAAAGAAACTACAGCAGCTTGAGTAGCCCAAATGCTAGTTCCTGCCCACAGCAGTACATGTGCCTTTCCCGAGCGTCACTCACAACTGCTCTTTGTCTTTCAGGCTGTCCTAGGGCCTGAAACTTTGCAGAAGCTGCTAAGATGGCTACGAATGCACATTCTGTACAGAGTTTGGCCCAGGGTGTGTTCCATGTATGGCTTAAAATGCTGATGGTCAAGGCCCTTCCACGGTCTTCACATCTGTCCATGGAGGACAGGACTTGCCCCTAACATCCTTCTAGGCTGCTGCCACCCCACCCTGCAAACGCACCCGGTCACATTCTAGTTGTTTTCCGCTTTCATGGCACCTTAGCGCCAGGGGAGGGTCTGCCCATGCAAAGCAGAGAAACAGACGTGTCGCACTGGGGGAACCGGCTGGGCTGCCCTGAGGCAAGGAGGTCTTTGTAGATAAGTGCTGATCCCTCAACTATAATCCCAGTTATGTAATGGCTGTATTAACATGTGACCGACCGCATTGTATCTAAAGCCTTAGAACTAGTCAGGTGCTCCCCTCCGACCTTGTTCCTGCCCCTTTCCTCCTACCTGATCTTTAACAAAGCATTAATAATTCTAAGGATAATCTCTATTTTGTTGTGCTTTTTTTGTAACTGTTTTAAATAAATCAATTTGTACTGTATATTTGTACTTTTGGTGAGATCCTTTTTCCTGTTTTACCATTTTAAGTCTGTACTTGGCTACACACAGATTGTATTTTTATTGTTAATGCTCTTATGAATATTGCATTTAACTTGTTGACTCTGTAAACACAGTATATATCTATATATATATATCTATATATAAACCAATAGCTTTTCCTTTGGTGTTTGAGACTTTTTGCTTGTCTGTAGCATCAGTGATCATTAGGATGTGGCTTTTCTCTTACACAGAGTGATCTGGAGACTTGCGACAAGGGCAAGGTAAAGGCTGACAGATGGAGCATAAGCCATGATTCTGTGTTCAGATACTTTTGCTTTTATGTGGTCTCTTTCTTGAATCCCTTGGAATAATGATCAGGGGCCAGTGATGCTGCAGGGAAAGTTTCAACTACAGTTTGCAGAACGAAGCTACATCTTTGCTGGCCAAGCAAAAGACACAAGATAGAGCAATAGCAAATATTGCGAGAAGCAGACTGTCAGTTTGAGTATGAAAATGGACAGAGGTAAGAATAAAAGTGAGAGATCAGTTCAGAGAACAAAGGAGGATACGAACAAGGTAACATGGAACTGAACAGACCCTTTCCAGATTTGGTGCCTTTTCCCAAAGTGAGAGAGGCAAGGATGGCTCCTGGATGTCAGTTCTATGCGATGAATGATATGTTAAAACAGCTTCTGTAAGGTGAGGAAACAAGATGTTACAGTGGCATGTGGAGGAAATTGTTTGAAAAGATTAAATGCTTTTTGTAGCAAGCGTCTACAAGACTGTAAGGTTAGTTCATTATCATGAAAAAAATGCAACACTGTGCACTTTGAAGGCAACTATTGTTAAGCATTAACTAGGGCTTTAAGGGACTTCAATCAAAAGTTTTTCAAACTGAAAGAATAGGGGAAAATCAGGTTTCTAAGTAGTCTGGCCAAAAGGTTTTGCTTCTTGTTTTAACTTTTCTAATCTCAAGTAGGGGTGTTGTGGTCACCATTTCTGACTTAATGCAGAGAAACAGCAATCGGAGAGAAGACAGTAGCTCCCACTGTATTTAGACCACCATGTAACTGTAACGCAGACCTGAACTGGAAATGCTATGAAAGCAGTAAGGGTCTTCAGGCTACAAAACATAGCTGTGTGGCACACCAGTGTCTGGTTGGCTGACGTGTGGAAACCACAAAGCTACAGCATGCATTTTTAGATGCTTGTTCTTAAAGAAACCAAATAATGCAGAGTGTATCACCCCTTTGCCCCCCCATGAGTCCTTCTGTGCTAATGTTTTGCCTTTTCCAGTTTAAAGATGCCTAGATTTCATTTCCATAGTTGCAGAGTTTCATAATGATTCCTATTAGCAATGGGAACCTTTTCATATAGGTACAGACTATGATCACATATTGCCTTGGCTACCTCTTGAATAAACTAAAGAAGGCTTAAATTCCCTACCCTCTAGCAGGTTTTTCCAGACTCAGTTATTGTAGCTGTCCGTGGCTCCTCCCCAGCTCACCCCTTTTCCACATTCTTATTGGTTTTGCTGCTGAGTGTGAAAGCAAAAGCAACTTTTCTACCTGTGTGGTTCTGTTTACAAATGTCCCCACCTTGCCCCACAGTGTTACCTGCAGCGACCACTGAAAGTCACTGTTGGTCACAGAGGAATTTACTATTCGAATGAATAACCTGAGTGTGATCTGTGGTCCTAGAAGAGCAGTGTTGCATTTGGCTGTATTAAAATGGTTGAATGAGCTCAGCTTACTATGAAGTCACAGAGTCACAGGATGGTTGAGGTGGGAAGGGACCTGCAGAGGTCAACTGGTCCAACCCCCCCTGCTCAAGCAGGGCCACCCACAGCCAGCTGCCCAGGACTGTGTCTTTTGAAAATCTCCAAGGTGGGAGACTCCACAACTTCCCTGGGTAACCTGTGCCAGTGCTCCATCACCCTCACAGTGAAAAAGTGTTTCCTGATGTTCAGAGGGAACCCCCTGTGTTTCCATTTGTGCCCAGTGCCTCTTGTCCTGTCACTGGGCACCACTGAAAACAGCCTAGCTCCATTTTCTTTACCCTCTCCCTTCAGGTATTTATAAACATCATTGATAAGATCCCCTTCTCCCCGCTCAAGCCTTCTCTTCTCCAGGCTGGACAGTCCCAGCTCTCCCAGCCTTTCCTCACAGGAGAGATACTCCAGTCCCTTCCCTATCTTAGTTGCCCTTTGCTAGATGCTCTCCAGTATGTCTGCGCCTCCGTTGCAGTGGTGAGCCCAGAATGGGACACAGTACTCCAGATGTGGCCTCACCAGTGCTGAATAAAGGGGAAAGCAAATCCATAGGGTACTGGAGAGCTGACCTACCCTTATTGTTTACCATTCGATCGACTCTTTCACTTGCAAACCTGAAGTGCTGTTTAAGTGAAAACTAACTTGCGAGTAAACCAGCAAACTTCTTTGCCGTTTGCTTACCTCAGTCAGCCTGTCTGTTAGTATTTATATGGGGCATCTTAGAACAGGAACTCAGTTTCCTTTTAGTTTTTCCACGGATGCTACTGCAAATAAGCACATAATGATAGCGTTAAGAGAAAGGGTGTGCATAGCCATTTCCAGGGAGACAACATCCTCCTTTGCTTCCTTTCTATGGACACAAACTGCGAGGGATTTACTCCTGGAGGAGTTGTGGACTATCGAAGTCCTCAGCTCCATAATTCATGCTGCAGTAAACAAGATCCCTTTTTAGTGAGGTAGGCTTTCACCTACAGCAGAACTGCAGCAGCCCAAACCCATCTATGGGGCAAGGGTCTAAGAACAGGATGAAGCACAAAAGGTAAAGAAGGGGACTAAATAAATGTGAACATTAATTTATTTTCCCTCTGTTCACAGGCTGAGACTTGGCCCCCAGAGCAGACTATATCCTCCGAATCTGCTCCCACCAGGGCTACTTTGGCAGGCATCTCAGCTCTGTTCTCCTCCTATGTTCAGGAGAAAACCAGAACCACCTGTTAGGGAGAGTCAGCCAGGGACCCACAGCAGCCTCTTGAGTGTCGAAGCCTGCTAGTGCACCTGTGGCAGGTGCAGCAGAGGTGGCACAGTCCTTGGCTGTAGCTTAATGCAGCGTGCTGTTGCTCTGCTCCTCAAAGGTCATTTTGCCCAGCAGCTGGCTCTCCAGCTCCACATTGCTCACTGGCAGCTGGAAAAAGTTCATTTCAGCTGCCAAAGCGGCCATGGCAGAGGGGTCCTGGCCAAACTGTGCCCGGAGCATCATGTCCATTTTCTCCAAGCGCCGCTTGAGCCTCTTGGCCTCGCGCTCCCGGATGAGCCGGGCCTGTCGTTTCTCTGGGGTCTCGTTTGCACGTTTCAGTCGCATGGCTTCCCGGTCTCTCTGCAGCCGCCGTGCCCGCTGTTCATCTGTCTCTTGCATGCGCTGCAGGCGCTTAGCTTCTCTATCCCGCATACGCCTCACTTCCCGTTCTTCGGGTGTCTCATTGTCCCGCCGGCTCTTCTTGGCCGTGCGCTCCCGCTCCAGACGCTGCAGCCGCACTTCCAAGGGCTCGTTCTGCCGACGAAGTGCCCATTTTCGCATGCCAGGTGTCTGCGCCTCCAGCAGCTTACGATAAGCTGCACAGTTGTTGCACACTAGGAGGATGCCTGCAGGATACACAGGGGTGTGAAAGGCAATGTCTCTGCCCTCAACACTGGAGGGGCCCTCGCTCTGCGGTGCCGGCAGGCGATCTGCACTGAGCACGTCTGGCAGCTTCTCACTGGAAAGCAGAAAGAGCAGTGAGTCAGAGACTTGGTGCTGATGGAAGAGTCCCCATCTCAGGCTGCCCAGGGGGCTGCAGTGAACAGTGCCCTTACTACAGCCCATGACAGAGGCCTCTGCTAAACCGTTCCTGCCCACAGACCTGTCTGAATACCTAAATTGAAGCAACATCATATCCGGGGGTAGGAAGTGGGTTAGCCCAGAGCAGTATCTGGGTTGGAAGAGCGCAAGAGCAGGAATTAGCCAGCAAACAGCTCCTCCCCATCATCTCTGGATTTCTCCTTTCAGCCCTATTCCACTAGTCAGTGGGCAGTCTTCCACTAGGCAGGACACAAACAAGGAACATTTTGGTTTCTGCCTGTAGTCCTGCTCTGGAAATGATGAACCCATCTGGGCAGTACAGACCTACTCTGATGGATTGCTGGGCAAGGGAGGCAGCTGATTGTTCTCCAGTGACTGGAGACCCCAGTGCTTTCTGCACAGTTCTAGTTCTTCACAGAGCTAAGGAACACCCTTTTAGCAGCACAGCCCATGGAGGTGATGCAGAGCTGAAGGCAGGAAGGGATTGAGGGAATCTCGCTCACTGGGGGTGTCCACAGCTCTCCTGCAGGCTTTAGTGGGTCCAGAGCCATGGTTTCTGTGTCATTTAAGGCAACCCACCTAATCTTTAATGTGGGTACCCTAGCCCACTCACCAGCCAGGGCGACCCTGACCTGTTGAATGTGGCATGGCTGGTGAAGCGTGCTCCACACACTGCACAGTTTGACAGCTGGTCCTCTGAGTGGATCAGGAGATGTCGCCCAAGGGATCCTGGTGAGCTGAGGGCTCTGCCACATACAGGACACATGTAGCTCTTGGCGCTCACCACAGCTGCAGTGTGCTGCAAAACAACCACTAGGTTGTTAGTTACAAATTGCTCAGCTCCCTGCCCAGTCTGAGGCATGCTCAACAGATACGGCAAACAATTCAGTTCAGCCTCTTGGAATGGGAACACTTTACTACTAAACCTCCGTCTGACAGCTCCTAGAGCAAGCTCAAGACATCTGGGTGTCACAGGTAAAACAGCAAGGAGGAAACCCTTCTACAGCTCCACTCCAGTGCAAGAGAAACAATTAAGGCCAAAACACCGGGACTGTAAGACCTGACCCTTGTTTTCAGAAATGCACCTCAGGAGCTGCTGCTGCTGGACACAGCATGACTGGACTAATAGTAAGCAGGATGCTGGTGAGGAAGCGCTTAGATGGAGACAGTCAGCTGGTGCAGGTAAGTGGCCAGTTCAGTTCTGCTTCATTCCTTCTTTTACAGACTTTGATGTGCTATGAAGAGAATACTGACAGCAAAACCTGTAAGATTCCAGCACAGATTTCCTGCAATACTGGAATCATTTCAGAGGAAGAACAGATGTTTTCATGGATAGGAACTGTGATGAAGGTACAAAATAAAGAACTGAGTGGTTAGGAGGAGGGTTTCTTATCTCACTGAATGACGTAAAAATTGCTTCCATGTTCACTCTGAAGGAACTGCCTGGTCTTAGCCTACAACTGCTTGCAGAGACTGCCTTGGGATAGAGTTGTGTTTTCCAGATCTGCAGACCAGTGCCTTGCTGATTCTTCCCCCGGGACACCCTCTGGACACAGTTTACTGCTGTAAACTTCAATCACATCCTAGCTAGAAGCTCAGTTCTGTGACTGCAAAGACCAGAACAAAGCCACCCTGTGCTTTGGGTTGTTTCTGGATTTGGGACTTAAGGAGGCTTGAGGGGCTTAAGACCAGAGGTATCCCACAGTTTGGAACCATCCCCTACCTGGTATACGTGAGCAATGAGCTGCTCTCTGCTTCCACACTCCAGCTGGCAGAGTGGGCACTGTGACAATCCCAGCACAGGGTCAGCATTCAAATTCTCAGGCACCTACAGGGAGGAAAAGCCACATTGTGTAAGGCACACAGATCCCCTGCCCCCAGCCACCCCGCCCTCCCTTAGTATCAGTCAACACTGCACATAGGCCTTGACTAGATCAAGTACTGCATGCCCAGTCCCTCTGGGGCTGGTTTGTGTTCTTGCAGTCCAAAACTTCCTTTATGTATCCTCTGAGCAAAACTCCTGCTGCCTTGGGGAGAACAGGCAGAGGCCTCAGGGCCTCCACTCACACCCGGGTTCTTGCCAGCGCAGTGGCTCTGGTAGGCAAGGCCCGCTCTGTAGCAGAAGGGAAGGGGAAGTCAGTCAGAGAAAGGCACCAGAACTGAATGAAGGGGGCACACTCTGCACAATCACTTTGGCCAGCCATGAGAATGGCAGTTTGTGCCTGCTATCTCCTGTTCCTGGCAGCCCAAGAGCTCTTCATACCTTTTCTTCCTGCCAGGAGATGATGTTTGGAGAAGGTAGGAGGGAGAAAAAGATAAGAAACCACAGCAGGGAGAGGAGGTGTTTAGACAGTACCCTTCTCTCTCCCTGGGAAGTTAAGGGGAGTGCAGAGCTAGTACACACTTGCCTGATTTTCTCTCATCAGTGGGGTTCCAGCCACAGGTTGTTCTGCATTCCCTAATTCCTTCTTCACTTTCACCATTGAGCCATCCTCCTCAGATGTATGGGATGAAACTTCATCCTGGGTGGTTTCCTCATCATCACTGCCACCTGGAACACAAAGAGCAGTTATTCCAAGTGTCAGGACCCTGAGGGCATGCATAGGCCTTAATTGTCCTGACCAGCATCACCTGGAGCCTCCACCCACACCCTCCAACCAGGGGCTCCATTTAAATTCAGGCTGGGTCACCTCAGTCCCTGAAGTGTTCTGTAGAGTCCCTGGGTCTGGACTGTTACTCTACCTTGTTTGACAATCACTGGACCATCAGCTGGACCTGCTGCTGCTGTTACCACCCTGCTCTGGTAAGTTGGGACTGCATTGGACCCCACTCACTTGGGTGGTGAGGTCATTGCCCAATCTGTGTTGTGGTGGCCCTTAGCTCTGGGCTTGTTTTCCCTTAGGGAGCAGCCCTGCTCTTGCTGTTTGCTGACACTAAGTCCTGCACAGGAGCCAAGGGCTAACCCAGAGGAGGAGATGTGTAAGATGGTCCTGAGAGGATCCCCACAAGCTGTGCAGAACCTCTTGTCTGTCACCCCTTGTCAGAGTCTTCCTAGCCCACTACCTTGCCATTATTGGAAGGGGTAGAACTCACTGCTGCTGGAGTCGGGGTCTTGCAGTGGATGAATGGCTGGCCTTTGGTCCCCAAGAGCTCCAGGAAAGTTGTTTTTCATCATGGCTTGGCGGGCTTGCTCCTCCAGCCCTGCAAAGACTTGCTCCCCTGGCAGCCACAAGGACAAAGAGTCAGACTGGTGCTGTTCCATTGCTTTCATAGAATCATAGAATCACAGAATGGTTTGGGTTGGAAGGGACCTTAAAGATCATCCAGTCCAACCCCCCTGCCTTGGGCAGGGATGCCTTCCACTAGACCAGGTTGCTCAAAGCCCCATCCAACCTGGCCTTGAATGCTTCCAGGGATGGGGTATCCACAACTTCTCTGCGCAACCTGTTCCAGTGCCTCACCACCCTCATAGTGAAGAATTTCTTCCTTATACCTAATCTAAATCTACCTTCTTTCAGTTTAAAGCCATTACCCCTTGTCCTGTTGCTACGTGCCATTGTAAAAAGTCCCTCTCCAGCTTTCTTGTGGGCCCCCTTCAGGTACTGGAAGGTTGCTGTAAGGTCTCCCCAGAGCCTTCTCTTCTCCAGCCTGAACAACCCCAACTCCCTCAGCCTGTCCTCATAGGAGAGGTGCTTGCTCCAGCCCTCTGATCTTTGTGGCCTCCTCTGGACTCACTCCAACAGGTTCATGTCCTTCTTATGTTGGGGGCCCCAGAGCTGAATGCAGTAGTCCAGGTGGGGCCTCATGGGAGCGGGATAGAGGGTGAGAATCACCTCCCTTGACCTGCTGGTCCTGCTTCTTTCACCACCAAGGCTTGCCAAAAACAAAGAGGTGTGGGGCTGCTCACCTGCACTGTGCAGAACCTCTGAAGTCACCTCTCAGAAAGCATTTAAGTAACCTCTCTGCTTGCCTACCCTGCAACACCAGCCTCTTGTACCTGCTGATGTGAGTCCAGTCCCTGTGTCTAGAACAGTCTCACTAGTGGAAATATCCAGCATCAGGCTGCTCTCTGCATACTCTTTATATGCCACTCCAGCCACAAAAAAAAAAAAAGTGAGATGCCATATATCTGTCAACAGAGCTATAGCATAGCTCTAGGCAGAGGGGAAGCCACTTGGGGACTATGATGGTATCCCAAATCAGGTGTAGTGCTATGTGGTTCTTCTAAATCGTTAAGTCCTATTCCCTGCTGTAACAGGCAACTTGCACAAAAATAGTATCTCCCTGAGTGCCTGGCACCTCATCTGCTCTCCACAATGATACTAAAATCAGGGTTTGTCCTTGGCATGCTCTGTCACCACCTTCCGTCCTGGGAAGACTGAGGACAAGCTGCCTATCAAGAAGGTGTTTGTGCTCAGAGCTGGTGTTCTCCTGCTTACATGATGGAAAACTCGCTTCACTACCTTGCCTTGCCCCAGAGTGGCTCTGGCTAAAATAAATCTCAGTGACACTTCATATGCTCAAACCAGAAAACTAAGGGAATGAACCCAGAAAGCTGAGGTGCTCGTTTAGGATAGCTTACAGTCTGTTTTGTTGGAAGACACCAATCACTAGTACCTTGACTCAATAGGAGATGGCAAACACATTGAAAGAGGGCAATTATTTGTGCTTCTCTTAAAGAAAACTTCTTACAACAATCCCTGCTAAAGAGAACTTTTGGTTTCAAAGAGTAACAAGAAAAGGCAACCATTAGTTTTCACATTAAATCAAACAAATGGCTTTGTTCCAGGTGTAGTTGTGATTTGCCTCTCAGTGGATGAGCTGGGAGCACCTGGGTCAAGGTGCTGAAGTTTCCAGCAGGCTAGCTTTTGGGTTAAATTTATTAACTGATTTGTAAGTTCTCAAGAACCATGCAAAGCATAAATGCAAAAATGCTATGGAAGACAGAGTGCATTTTTCACATGAAAGCTTTTGGAACAAAATTGTACCTTTTAGTATAGGGCCACAACTGGCATCAGTATAACCAGGGAATTAAATTCTTGACCCATTGAGAGAGCACCAGTCCCGTTAGAAGGACAGGTACATTCCCACATGCTGAACTGTTTCAGCCAGCTTTGCCCCATATTCATACTCACACTGCCTTTCTGGTGCTTACCTCTCAATTTGTGGCAGTGCTTTAAAAAGCAGTAATTTATGGAAGATTTCAAAGACCTTCAGAAGTTTCATGGAGAGTGTGGGAGAAGAGTTTTAGTTCCCAACATCCCCATGGAGGTTTCCAAAAACATTTGAAGGTATTTATCATTCTGTTTCAGAAATGTGAGAAAGGTTTCTGTAGAAAAGACTTGAGAACACAACCCATGTAAGCTGAAGAGAGGTGCTGAGGAGCACTCTAAATCTATTTGTCACTGAAAGCAGCAGGTACCATCATGATAGCTGTGACATATGTACCCCCATCAGAAGCCATTCCAGCACTGGATGATTTTCATAACCTGGAGTGCTGCTTTTATGTCTGGACTACAACCTCACATTGATGGGACCGAGATACAGACTGTATGAACAGCAGACACTACAGATTTACAGTGCCTCTCCAAGAAGCAGATATCCACAAACCACCAGGATAAAAGACCAGAGACCAAAAAAGCATTGCAAGACAAAGAGAAAGTATGGTGAAATGAGGAAACCTGCAGAACACAGGACAGATGTAAAACTATGGTGGGAGATGTGCTACCTGTGACAGTTACAGGATTCCCACACACCACTGCAACTGCTAGTGGAAGCAGTTATGTGCTTGTTTTCTTTCCCCTTCCAGATGGCTTATGTTTCCACTGAGCAGCAGCTCGGAGTCTAATGGCAGGTAGGTTCCTGCTCAGATATACAGACAATCTGCAGGATTTTAAAAGCCGTTATCTTTACATAAGGTGACTGAGGAGGAAACTCCTCCTATCACTAACACTAGCATCAATCACAACAACTAAGAGAGCGATCGTGTCTGCCAGTGGCCTTTCTGTACAACGTACCCAGAACCAAGTTAGCGTTGATTCAGCGCAGTGCAGAGAACTATCAGCTTACAGCCAGAAATGCAAACTGTTAACCAAACCAGTGCTGTTAGCAGACAACATCTTGTGCATTCTCCACTAGCCTCTATTTAAAAGGCATCACAGAATTGGGAAAAACAAACTTTTAAAAATGCTATCTTTAGCTTGTGCAGAACTTCTTATGTATTAAACTAATATTGTCTCCAAAAGAACTTAGGGAAGAGTGTCCTGTTCATCTGCTGATGGCCTAAGTCCTACTTTGATGAAGCTTTAGGGCTTTAATGTTTGATAGGTACAGGGTTATACTTTTATTGTTTCTGCACACACATACTCACATACAGACACTTACACCCCCACCTCCACCCCACCACGAATGCAGTTACATTCATTTGGAAAGGAAGACAGGCAACAGCTTTAGAATCGCTGCTGTCAGTAAAGGAAGTTATGCTCAATATTGAACTCACAGACTCTTCTCCAGAAGTTTCTTTATTAAATACAAAAAGGGCTGCAGGCTGACCACAACACCAAAACAAGTCACTGTGTTTACAAACAGCTAGAGACGTAGGACAGTGAAAGATCATACAGATGCCTCTGCTTTGCATTCCAGTTCTCCTCTCCATAATCCTGTAAATGAGTGGGATGCCAGGTGAGCAGCTGTGGAGGTAGGGGGCAGCCCTGTGGTACTGTGCAACAGGGGCAGTTATGACTGCTAGGATCTGGTGGTGTATCAACTTGGTAGCCAGAAAGGATTTTTTTTTTTCCTGAGCCCTTCCCTCCTTGAACTGTATGAATGCAGGATAACTCTCAGGTGTTCTGGAAAACAAACACACAAACAAACAACCCCCACCCCAAAATCCACAAAACAAAATCAAAAGAAACTGCATCATTCCCCTGTCTTCCTTCCTAAACAGAAAGGTCTCTCAGAGATGAGCCACTTTATTCCCTCCTTGTACATCAATTTAAAGTCCCTGTTCATGTAGGTCTTCTCTGTGTTCCTTTCCTGGACCTGAAATTTGCAAGTCTTTCCACCACTGTGGATCTAGTCCACCTGCCCCATCGCTATTCTGGGTTGTCCACACTGCTGTAGTGGTTACTGAAATGAAAAACAACACAATTGAAAGAGTTAACAATGGCAGCCCACAGAGCCCTTTAAGAACCAAGGATTTTGATGCAAGTAACATTTCTGCTCGGTTTTGAATGCTGGGTGCTATTTCTTGCAAGATACTTTCTCTTCAAACTGGGAATATTATAGACAGCAGAATTCAAAGAACGCTGAGAGCACAGACTGTGCATTTGTCAGATGGAGAGGGAAGGAAATAGAGGATTAATGGGATATTGGGACCATGATAAATAGAGCTAGGAAGTAGGAATTAATTTGACTAACAAAAGCTGTTCTCAAGAGTTCTAAAATAAGCATCACTTGCAAAGGGTACAAGCAATAGAAAGAAAAGCAGTTCATGGGACAGCAGGGAGAGAAAATAAAAGTGCATGCTAACACCTGCAGGAATTTTTTGGCAAGCACAAGAACAGCGAGTAGTCCATAACTGCTGGAGTGACAGTGCAGCAATGGATGGGTTTGAATGCAAGATCAGATGAATTGCTTAGAGAGATTTTATACTTTTACACTTTAGAGTCTGGGAGAAAATAAAGACCAAATTGAACCAATTAAGATACCTCCACAGGAACAATGTAACTGCATTGTATTTTTCAATCCAGTGTGGAATGGGCAATGCAATAGGTATCTTCCAGTATTACAGTTTCATTTGTTACCACTTTGTCAGGTGTGTTTTTCATGTGCCATGTGGCAAAACAAATTATTAAGAGCCAATTATGTGCTGCAGCCCTGCCAAAGGGAAAATGACTACAATTAGAACTGTAGAAGGACTGGCCATCATGTACAATGAGACTTTTGTGGTAACAGTAATTTTTATAATTGTTTCTGTATTATTTTGAATTTCCTTACACATCAACTTCCATTTAAAACTGTTCTGACTTGTAACCATACAACTTCCCAGCCGGTCACTCTGCATGCCAAACAAAGTGATTATGTGCTAAGTGAGGACAGCAAACCATACTGTTGCGAGAGCAAGGTTAAATGAGGGCCATGCCAAGCCTGGAAAATAACCCTGGAAAGAGGTGGCACCAAGCAAGCCAGGGAGAGGAGATCTGCAGCTGTTGCTTGCCCTAGTGAATCCAAGAAGGAAGATAACATGGAGTGGCCATGCAAGGAAGAAGTAGGCACTGTCCTCCCACAAATCTGTCCAGTTAGATATTCACAGTGGTATTTATGCAAATCCAAAAAGCACTTCCCCAGCCCCGCAGCCTGCCAAATCAGACCCCAGCTGCAGACAACTGCGTAAAAAGCTGCATACCTGCTGTCCCTTTTATTCCTCTCCTCCCAACCACTTCAGTCCCTGTGAAGAAGTCTCAGTAACGTGTCTGCTATGTCTCAGCCTGACTCCTCATTCTGCTGGCTCACCCAGTTCTTGGAGCTGATGCTCTCTCCGATTATCCTCGTCAGTGCACTGCATGGCATTTCTGGGCCCTCCAGATACACAGCAGGCTAGGTAGACAGAGAAGTCCCAACGATTTGGTGGTGTTCATCATAAGAGAGACAAGATTTTCCATCCCAAGGAGGAGACATCACCATTGACATGTTTCTTGTATCTTTCAGTCCCTTTATTTTCTTGTGGTCCTACTTGCTGCTCCTGATGGCTCCTGTTGAATAGTTGCTCTGTAGCAATGTACCGCATGTAAAGGAAGTGAACAGGTCCCAGAATTCCTCTCTGTGGCATACCAGATGCCATAACCTCAACCTCATGCCCTGCTGGTAGCATGTTTGTCAGATAGCTTCCCCTGAGACCAAAACTGGACATACAATCACTTGTATTGCAGATAAAAAAAGCAATGTTCACTGTGAAAATAGTGCACAACTGAACTCCATAATATGTATAGTTTTGTATGTAATAGTACAAGCTTCTGAAGAACATAACCCTTACGTAGTAAAGTGCAGAAAAGAGCCCACCTAAACACCATGGAAACTCTACCTGCACCATTAGAGCTGTTGTACCCCTTGGTTTCCATACATGAGAGACCATGACTCTACACCAGGGGAGATAGTGTAAGTGCATGCCTTATATAAGTCTGATCTAAACGGCAGCAGTAATATCTGGGCACTCTCAGAAGCAAAAGTGTGTGGACACAGGATGTGTTACTGGCATCATAGGACAAAACACAGGACATACCAAATTTCTCTAAGGCAGACAATTCTGAAGTCATTAATGTACTATCAGGCAAATCAAAGCTATACTCTGCCCACTGTTGAACCCAGCGCCCAGAAGCAGGAATTGGAGAGCACAGGTCAGTGCAGATGCCAAAAGCCACAACTCATGATTCTTATGCTGGCCACCAAGGAAAGCTTTGTCAGCTCTCCCATGCCTAGCTCTAGCAGCCAATGGGGTTTTCAAGTCCCAGACACAGGAAATTCTCCCTGGTACACTCACTGAGCATGCAAAGTGTTAGGCTATATCACAATGTATTTTTCCCTAGTACAGAGAACAGCATGCATAGATTCCTGTTGCCATACCTGTACAAAAAGGCAGCACAGAGAAACACAGAGACATGCAAGCCAGCAGCATCAGCAAAGTGAGGCAGTGTTAGGGCTGCAGCATTCAGCTCTGTGTCCCATACTCCTGACAGCTACTACAGCTTAGCAATACCTAGGGCCCTCTCATCAACCTTGCTTTCACATATCTACAGAAGTGGAAATTTGTTTTCCTCGTTCTAGCCCAAGTTCCAAACGTATCTCCAGCCACAAAGCTGGGTATGTACAAGGGCATAGCTTCAGTCCCCCCACCTTCCCTCTGCTGCAACCAAACAAAAGCCACAGATGTGCAGTTTCCCCTTTGCAGCCAAACATCCATACGTGTCTTCCAGCTCCGCTAACATCTTGCTATAGGCTGCCCACAAGAAGTGCTGATGTACAGCATCTTCAGCTCTTTCATTATCAAACAAATGCCAGGGTCTTGACAATGCTGGAGAAACAGAGATGTGTCCTGTCAGCTCAGCTCAAAAACGATCTGACAGATAGCATTTATCTGTCCAGTAAATTACTTAGCCACTGCCCATTCCCTGCAAGGAAAGAGCAAATGGCTTTACTTACATTATCTGGTAGGAAACTGAGGTACAGTGAGCTTAAGTAACATGTCCAAGGCCAGCCAGTTGAGTCTGTGGTAGGGCAAATATCAGAACTCAGGACTTCCTGCCTTTCAACCACACACTCAAACTACCTTGCCTAGAACTTCCTTTGCTACCCAAGACAGGCCACAGCCCCTAAGTCACATTTCGTAGTATACTAACTTGCACTTGTGACAGTGTGAATGCAAAGCATAGCTACAGGCTCTGCACATACACACCTACCTTTACAGCATTAGTTGTTTGTTCAAGCCTATCCCTGTCCTGCCATGCCAGGACACAGCCAGCTCCCCTGATGCACAGAGCTCAGTTTCTCTTCTTACAGTCCCTAAGATGAAATGTGAGTAACCACCATTCCCCCACAAACTGTACCTTTTCATCATTCCCCTCCTCCTCCTCCCCGTCTCACTCCACAACAATCCAGCTAGGGCAAGGATCCCACAATGCTGTGTAGCATGATACTCACAGTGAACTTTGTTAGGAGTGGTCTGTTTCCGACGGGACATGTTTCCCTGACCTGGGAGCACAGAGCGTTCGTTCCCTCAGCAGAGGGCTCACCTGAGAAGAGAAGAGCCTGTCACACACACCACTGGAACCTCCTGAGCCTCTGGCCAAACACAGCTGACTGTCTCAGGGTCATTCCCCACCCTTCTGCCTGCAGGGCTCACTCTGCATCCCCACAGCCATTTTCAGTGCCAGCATCCAACATGATCCACAGGCATTTCACAAACCACTGTGTATGGGCAGTCCCACCCAGTTCTCAAGCAAAGTTATAAACAATCCTGTCCCCATCATACAAAAAGCTAGGAGTGCCCCACTTCAAGAGTGACTGCAATCTCAGTCCAAGCACCCTTCTCCCTCCTGTCCATTCCCATGGCCGAGAGGGCAAGAGCCTGATCAAACCTGCAGACCCTGCCCTACCTATGGCCTCCTACCCAGAGAGAGACCAAGGGGACACAAGGCTGCACGACGCCCAGACGGCTGGCATCGGGCACCGGATAACCCAGCCCAGGCAGACAAGGGAACCAGCTGCCCTACGGTCACAGCTCCAGACATGGCAGCAGCAGCTGACGGGACAGTGTGGCCAGCCTGGGGACAGGTCTCGGCCCAGACAGACACCCCTCAAAGGGACTGACCTCACCGCTCTCGCAGACAGGCACAGGGAGAGGGAAACAGCGGGGCTGCTGTGCCCTCCCTGCTGCCAGGACCTCCCTGGGCAGGCAGGGACAGGGACAGGCGGGTGGGGACACACCGCGTGCCCTCACATGGTGGGGACCACCCATGCCCCACCGCACATGGGGAGCGATGCACCGCCCTTGTCCCTCACAGGTGGTGACACACCGACCCCCGCAAACTTTACAGGGGTGGAAACATCGACTCCTCTTCCTCAGACTGACAGAGGAAGGAATCGATCCCAACAGCCCCCTCAGACAGACAGACAAAAGGAGGAGCTGAACCCATTTACC